TCATCAGTCTGTGTGATACTTTAGAATCCACTAGGGGGCAGGATTCCCTATCTTTTTCACAATGGTTTCTGCCTAACACACCAGTCTGACAGTAATAATAACCCTTGCATTTGATACAGCGCCTTTTACATCAGGAGGACATCTCATGGTGCTTCAAACGATTTACTGAAAAGTGGAGCCACTGTGCATTTTGCAGGCAAATGTGACAGCCAATTTTGCATACAGCCATGAAGTGAATTACAAATTTTATCTGGGGGATCGTTGGCCAATTCACTGGGAAAAACTCCCTTCATTTTTTCAAATAGTACCATGGGATCTTTAACATCCACCTGAGCCTGACTGACACAGTACAGGATTTGTCATCATATGGATGCTTTGCATGGCACTCCAGAGTGGCTTTCTCTGTGACCAACCATAGTGTGAAGACCCCATGCAGCACCTCCTATCGCACCACAACAGGGATCTGAAGCTGCCTTGAACCTCCATCAAACTCCTAATGTGATGTCTTAACAATCCTTGTTTGATTCTGGCAAATTTTATAATCATCAAGGTATGAAATGTTATTTTGGTAAAGCAAGCAGTGTCCTACAGTTTGTACCCAGTGTCAGCCCCAAGCCCTCACAGGCCAGGTATTGGAAATCGCTCTCAACTCTCTCAATAATGAAAAGTAATTTTAGTCATTAAGAGCATTTGTCTCTTCATCTCCTCCTGGCCCATCTTCACCAGTTTGCCCTTTCCATTTCACACACAACAACAACTAGGTTAAGTCTAAAAGTACTTTACAATGGCAAAGGTGATCACTGAGCAGGAAGCGAAGAAGGGGAAGTTTGAGGGTGCTCAACAGACATGATCAAAGAAAACATTTTTATGAAGATTTTAAGGGCAAGGAGATTTTTGGAGAGCGGGGTATTAATTTATAGGGATCAAATGTGAGGGTGAGGATCTTTAAGTCAATTTACTGGGGTCTGGGAGACAAGGAGCCTGGTGAAATGGGTGTGATTGCCACTGCAGGATCTATTGTAGGAGAGGACTCCGGACTTCTGGAATTTATTATGGATAGAGGTAGGGAGCGAATGAGAAAAAGGTTGGAGAAATCTAAATTTTCACGTATGGATGATAGTCAAGTGTATTTCAATTCTGATTCACGCTCCCAAGTTTTCTTAAGAAGGTATTTGCTTTCAAAAATAATCATCTCTGCCTTAAAGTACATCCACTGAACCAAGTGCCTCAGAAATTACACCAAGAATTACCATTGAGATACAATGCAACACAGGAAATAATTTATCAACTGGCTTCAAGAAAACATTCAGGAAAACTCATGAGGCTGAAGAGCGGATAAATTATATTTCCAACATCATATGCTGCTCCCAATCTGTTTCCCAACCATACCAAATCATCAATTGTACTGATACTAGCAACATTCACTTTCATTTCTAATCAATGCTATTTTGTAAAGCATTTTGAGGAGTTTTTTTTACGTGAATAATAATCCCTACATTTTATATACATTGTATAATTCACTATATAATTGCACGTTATTATTACCACTTGTTTGCAAAGATATATAGATGAGGTACAACAACAACAAAATTACATTTATAGAGTGCCTTTCACATCGGGAGGACGTCCCAAGGCGCTGTAAATAGCCCATTAAAAATATTAATAAAGCTTTTGATCTAACATAATTCACATTCATTCAACAAAAACTATCACAAAATTGCATTTATATAGCACCCTTCACATTGGCAGGATGTCCCAATGTGTTGTATGGACAAGCATTTGCATCCAAGCTGGGGTTGGATTTGGGGTTGGGACCAAGGATGTGGGCGTGGTGGGGGAAAGATAAATGAAGGTACGGTCAAAAGGAAGGTCTTGAGATGGACGTTGAAGGAGGTGAGGGAAGGAGCGAGGCAGAGGGACTCCGTCATGGAGTTCCAGAGTATGTAGCCAGAAAGGCTGAAATTGAACATTGTCAGAATTAATTGTTCCACGTCAGGCCTTTGAACTCACAAATCCAATGTAGTGCTGAGGGTGTCCTGCATTGTTGGAGAGGCCATCCTTCAAATGAGCTTCTGTTCAGGTGGATATTAAAGATTCCATGGCCCTATTCGAAAACAGAAGAGGTTTCTCTCAGTATACTGGCCAACAATTCTCCAAACAAAAATAAAATATATAGATAATTCTTGCATTTGATATAATGCTTTTCATGTCTTCTAGACGTCTCAAAACTTTTCACAAAATATACTGTAAAGTGAACCCACTGAATATTTGTGGACGAAACATAGCAGCCAATTGTGCACAGCAGTGTCCCACAAACAGTCGTGAATTGAAGTGATCAATTTATTATTTGTTTTTTTCTTGAAGGATTATTATCAGGCGTGTGGAGTAGGGAAACTTGCCCAAGGTTTCAACCTGTCGGGAATCAAAGCCAGGTCTGTCGCTAACCACTGAACTATAAATAAAATTGATTACTCGCTTCATGGCTATTTGTGGGACATTGCTGTGAGCAAATTGGTACATTCATCTACAAAATACACAGTTGTTACACTTTACAGTAAATCCTGTGAAGTGCTTTGAGCTGTCCTCCCGAGATGAAAGGTACTATATCATACACAAGGATTATTGTTATTATTATTGATAAGATTCATGGGAACCTTTACATAATAGCCTATACCTGGCTTTCTCAGGGACTAAGTTTACATGAGTAAAAAAAATGCAATTTGATGTCAATATTCCTTTAAAACTTAAAACAAAAGAGACCATCCTGATGTTGGAGCCCACTGTTACTGTAATAATGCTATCACTGATAGTGTCCATGTGTGCTTCACAAAACCCTGTTAAACATTAGTGGCCCAGTGAAATAGTTTAGGAAGATAATAATAATCCTTGCATTTGATATAGCTCAAGATGTCTTGAAGTACTTTGCAAGATTTTACTGTGAAGTTTAGTGACTGCAAGTGATTGGAGCAACAAATTTGTGCATAGAAATGTTCCACAAACAGCCATGATGTCAGTTTTGTTTAGGGGATTGTTGATAGGACACCGGGAGAAGCTCCCTTCCTCTTTTTGAATAGTGCCAAGTCATCTTTAATGTCCACTCAAACAGGCCAACAGGATCTCGGTTTAGATATCGACTATCCCTTTTGGATGGTGTACATGTATAGAACAGGATCGAGCTCAGCTGTGCCCTAGCCACAACAACAATAACAACTTGCATTGATATCCCACCCTTCATGCAGTGTCTCAGAACACTGCAAAAAGGGAGGGCTGGATGCCGAGGAAGGGGGAGATGACAATCGGCATAAATAATCTGCAGGTGCTCACTGTTGTGGCTCACACATAAATAGTGGTCACTAGGATTACGTACTGGAAGTTGGAAGGAATAATACCCTCCATTACGAGCAATGTCTTCAGGAGAGGATAAGGGGAGTGGATAGCATCGGAAAAATATTGGCAGGAATTTTTATATTTCCGATATCTATAAAAATCTAAGTAGAGAGAAGATATTTTGTATGTTCTGTTTGGTCCAAATCCATGTTTTTGTTCCTGTGATTTAGTGAGGATTCAGTGAGGGGGAAATAGGAAGATTGTATGTACAGTTTAGCCTGAACTTGGACTCTAAAAGATTATTATTTGATTGTTGTGGGTAAATTGCTAGCCAGGCTGACACGAGATTGTGGTGAGAGCTTTGCTAACTAGCTTGTATCTGGACAAGCTGACAGGCTGTCATTAGGACTCAGGTGTTTTCCTGGGTTGGGGTTAGTAAATCTTGCCCTAGAAAGGCAAAATGATTTTGATGGATACTTTTTTTGTTGCAATAGATAGAAATTCAGACCTGGTGATATTAGGACCCAGAGATCTTGCTGAGTTGCAAAATGTAAAACCCTGATCACAATGACTCTAAGTGGCTCTTTTGGAGTCCTGTAGCTTCCCGGGAGGGTGAAACGTTGGGCAAATGTCCTTACTCGACATGTTCTGTTTACCTAACAGTAAGTAGGAACCTGGTTGTTAGTGGATTGGTGGATCGCTTTTCCGGTGGGTTGCAGGAGGTAAAGCAGTGACGGGGTTGCACTAGGACCTGGGGATGTGATGTGGGTTGCACATAGGACCTGGGATTGCAGTAGGACCTGGGGATGTGATGTGGGTTGCACATAGGACCTGGGATTGCAGTAGGACCTGGGGATGTGGTGTGGGTTGCACATAGGACCTGGGGTTGTGGTGTGGGTTGCACATAGGATCTGGGATTGCACTAGGACCTGGGGATGTGGTGAGGGTTGCACTAGGACCTGGGGATGTGGTGTGGGTTGCACTAGGACCTGGGGATGTGGTGAGGGTTGCACTAGGACCTGGGGATGTGGTGAGGGTTGCACTAGGACCTGGGGATGTGGTGTGGGTTGCACTAGGACCTGGGGATGTGGTGTGGGTTGCACTAGGACCTGGGGATGTGGTGTGGGTTGCACTAGGATCTGGGGATGTGGTGTGGGTTGCACTAGGACCTGGGGATGTGGTGTGGGTTGCACATAGGACCTGGGGATGTGGTGTGGGTTGCACTAGGACCTGGGGATGTGGTGTGGGTTGCACTAGGACCTGGGGATGCGGTGTGGGTTGCACTAGGACCTGGGGATGTGGTGAGGGTTGCACTAGGACCTGGGGATGTGGTGTGGGTTGCACTAGGACCTGGGGATGTGGTGAGGGTTGCACTAGGACCTGGGGATGTGGTGTGGGTTGCACTAGGACCTGGGGATGTGGTGTGGGTTGCACTAGGACCTGGGGATGCGGTGTGGGTTGCAGTAGGTAAAGCAGTGACATTCCTCTCATTCCGATGTGAATGGAGCTGATTGTTGAGCTGTGGCTGTGGCAGTGCTGGTGCTGGTCGCTGCTCTCCAGCTCAAAGCCATTTTCGCTGCACTATAGCCCTTATGTCGAGTCGGATTTATCTCCAGTCCATTTCTGCTCCGGATCTGTGGGAACGCAACTGCAAAGTAGACGGATGAATTGCAAATCCCTTTGTCCTGCAAACACCGAAAAAAAATACTTTGGGGACCAGACAGTGAAGGTAACAGAGTGGAGTGAGTGAGAGAGTGAGTGAGAGAGAGAGAGTGGGAGAGGAGGAGAGAGAGAGAGAGAGAGAGATTGCAAACTGGATAAGTTTTCGAAACTTTTCAGGAAGTTTGGAAGCAGTTGTATGGATTGAGGGCACTGCGGATCTGTGCAGTGTCGAAGGCTGTGTCAGGGATGGGGTTGAGTCACTCTGTTGGTTAGTGATGAAGACATCAGATGTCACAATGTTTCCACTCTTGAGTGAGTGAGTGAGTGAGTGAGTGAGATTGACATGATGTCTCCCTGAAAGGGTGGTGGGAGCAGACTCCATAGTAGCTTTCAAAAGGGAATTGGATAGGTATTTAAAAAGGAAACATTTGCAAGGCTGCGGGGTAAGAGCGGGGCAGTGGGACTAATTGGTAGCGCTTTTAAAGAACAGGCATGGGGCAGGATGGGCGGAATGGCCTCCTTCTGTGCTGTAAGATTCTATGATTCTGTGTCCCGGGGATGGGTGACTGCTTTTCCAGACTCTACACGCGTGTGCGCGCGCGTGTGTGCGTGTGGATATGTGGCCACTGAGGCAGAGAGGGCTTATCGAGCTCATCACTTGCAGGGGCAAATCCCCTTCAACATGTCAACTGTTAGTTTTCTATCTGGAAACTCCCATCCATTTATTTCAGCCACAGACTCTCCTTTCCAGCCTCCTGCACTCATAACAAAGCAGAACTTTGGGAAAGAATGAAGATTTCTGCAAGAATAAAGGTGGGGTGGGAAGAGAGTTTTAACATCTAATATTTTCGAGTGCAACTTTTCCTTTCTGCTACTATTGTTCTAATCATTAAAGCCTATTTTTCTTCATACAAAATACTCTTTTTAAGCAAAGCCCCTCGAGGTTAATTAGTGGTTGTGAATACATATCTTGTAATATTTTCATTTACATGTTGACTGAAAGTTTCTTTTTCTGATTTCGGAGAACCGTGGATGACCTTCGCAGAATTGGATTTAGTTTAAGTGAGACCTTGTACAGGATTGTGCTTGTCTGCATTCCCACCCTATCTGAACGTGCATATTTCCCCTAGTTTGGTCACTCTCTCCACAATAGCATGGTGAACAGCCTCTGATATATTTTTCAGTCTGTGTGTAGCTAACTAACTGACCAGATTATTTTTACAGTAAATTCAGTCAAATACGCATTTGTACAAATACTTTTTTTAAAAAAATTAGTTGCCCTCATCTACCAAAGGCCCTTAACAAGAATGAAGAGCTCAATCTATAACATGTTTTTTATTTGTTTAGAAGACTTTTTTATGTGTCAATCTTTTATTACTGTAATACTTTTACTACAATAATATAAAGGAGTAAATGCAATGAAATGTACTTTTTATTTATTTTTATATTGTTATTTCTCCCTATAGTGTTACTGTGTTATTTTGACTTTAGAAATACCTGTTGAAGTGCCACCCCCCCCCCCCCCACTATACACACAGATATACACACAAAATATAGAGGGTTACGTTATCTGTAAATACACACAGTTATACCACTTTCCAGTAAATACTGTGAAGCGCTTTGAGACGTCTCGATGATGTGATAAGGTGCTACATCAAATGTAAGGATTATTATTATATATCTTGATTCTCAGGTATTTATCTGTTAGGATTGCTCCTTTTCCTTTGGCATTTTCATGGTGCTCGTATTTGTTTTCCAGATAAATAAATTGCTCTATTGCCCACTTTCTGAAACATGATCAGTTCTATCTCCTGAGATGCTTCCTCAGGTTGGCATAGGGCTGGTGTAGGTTGATCTGCCTTCAGATTGTCCCCCAACCATCCCTGCCAGAAAGCACCTAACCTTTTTCCTGCTTGGTTATCCTGTCAGTTACATAATAATCCTCACATTTGATACAGCTCCTGTGTCTCCAAACATTTCCCAAGTAATTGCTATCAAACAAAGTTACTATTTTGTAGCCAAATTTGGTTTTCAGTTTGTGCACAGCAAAGTCCCACAAACAGCTATGAAATGAATGAAGAATTTATCTTCAAAGATTATTATCTGGGGAATTATTGGTCTAAGCACTGGGGGGTACTCCCTTCTCTTTTCAAATCATGTCATGGGACCTAAGCAGGCAGAAGCATCTTGGCAGAGATAGGAGACAACTACAGAAATAAACTTGTTTTCTTAAATCTCATGGTGCACTGTGTTTGGACACAACATTGCTTTACTATCCACTTAATTTGGGTGTCCACTTAATTTTTAATGTTCTTTTATAGCCCATGTTTACCACCATACATCCTCTACTGAATAGGACTGAGTCACAGGCCATGAGTCTGACCGCCAGCACTGCTGATGCTGATGCAAGATCAGTGAACAATGTACACTTGTTCTCCCTCAACCATGTTATAGATCTCCAGGATTCTAACAGAAAAGTTACTACAGAAACAGCTGTACAGTCAAAACCTGCTAAGATCATGCCATGTAATATTATAAATCATTTTAGAATGGAAATTAAATTAAAACTCTCATTGTTATCTTCCTATGGTGGCAGAGAAAGCTACCTTGTGAGACAAGACTATATTAGATTGCAACTGCATAATAATTTTACCAGGATTTCATTGTACTGTAATACTAAAGCACTGAATGAACAGTGCATAGTTCTTTTATAATTCATGTATTAATATAACTGAGACAATTTTTTCCACTCAGCTCCAGTTAATGCTGGAACCAACCAAAAGCCTTAGCCTATGATATTCCTAAGTGAACTAACAGCAGGAAGCTTGCCAGTCAGTACTTGCAATAGCATACTATGCTGTTTTAGCTTGTAAAACTCCAGCATTACCCCAGTATCCGTCTGGAGTCCCCAAGCCTTTGATCTTTCCTGCCTGCACATAATAATTTCAGAGATTAGGTGAGCAGGGTATGTCTCTTTGGCGAGGGAATGTGCTCTCTACTGCAGTCAAACAGAAATTCCCACACGTACATGGAACTCAGTCTGGTTTGCATACTCTTAGTCATGGTGACCATGTCTCAGACACCTACCTGATGGGGGGAATAAATGTATTAAATGAGGATTGTGTGCTTTTATTTCAGCAAAATAAGAGTGCTAAGATAGTCTTTTTTCCTGTCAGTTTTTTGCCCTCTGGTTCCTGTGAAAGTGACTGACTCCTTTATCCCTTTTGGTGGGGTATGAATACTCTGATACCACGCCCAAATCACCATTCTTTATAGGAACATAGGAACAGTAGTAGGCCAATCAGCCCTTTGAGCCTGTTCCACCATTTAATTAGATCATGGCTGATCTGTACCTCAACTAATTCTTTCAATTCAAATTTCGCGCTTTCTCCCCATATCCCTTAATACTCTGACCTACCAAAAATCTATCAACCTCACTCTTAAAGGTGTCGATGGATCCAGCATCGACGTCCTTTTGGGGAGAGAATTTCAGATTTCTATCACCCTTTGAGTGAAAAAATGCTTCCTGCTTTCATTCTTAAGTGGCCTGATTCTAATTGTAACACTATGTCCCCTTGTTTTGGATTCTGCCACCTAAGGAAATAGCTTCTCTGTATCTATGCTATCGAATCGCTTTATCATCATAAATATCTCAATAAAATCACATGGAATGTCTTCTAAACTCAAGGGAATACATTCCACGTTTCACAGTCTTTCCTCGTAACTTAACCCTTTTAGGCCTGGTAACATTCTAGTGAACTTGCGCCGCACCCCTGGGCAAATATATCTTTCCTGTGGTGTGGTGCCCAAAACTGAACGAAGTATTCCAGATGGGGTCTAACTAATGCTCTATACAACTGAAGCATCATTTCTTCCCCTTTGTATTCTAGGCCCTTGTGATTAAGGCCAATATTCCATTCGCCTTTTTGATTACATTTTGTAGCTGGGAACTAGTTCTTAGTAATTTGTGGATAAGGAGCAAAGAGACCCAAATCTCTTTGTGGAGGAACACAAAACCCAAATCCCTTTGCTCCTCCACAGTTCTTAGTCTCTCCCCATTAAGAAAATATTCTGCTTTAGGCTCATTGTTATCTTAACAAAGTCAGCTTTTCACTTGGAGAAGCACTCACTCTTATACTGTAAAATGATGCACCGTATGGGCAGAAAAATCATAAATTGGAAGTTGATTTTACACAGTTCGAATGTAAGGCCCCAGGCTGATTTTCTCCTCCCTAACCCAGAGGCAATAAGAACAATTATAGACCTCATGTGTTGCCGAATTGAGATCAACACGGATCCTACCGTGGGACTTTCTGGTCTTTGTAACTTAGTGTTTGACCGGGCCATGCACTTACCCAGTGACTAGACAATCATCAACAACCAATTGCATTTATATAGAGCCTTTCATGTCTGGAGGACATCCCAAGGCGCCAGACAGTCAAACTTGGCTCGATTATTTGAGTAGCAAAGTCATGAGTGAAATTCAGATCATATCCTACAGCTCGACACATATTTAGTAAGTAATGAAAAGAATCCAAATTAGCTCTGCATTTTAGTTTTAAATAGGAAGTAAATTAATACTGTGTACAGTTCTACTGTGAAATGTTTTTATAGCTTCATCTGTTCAATGCCATGTCATTAGTGGGAGCAGAATGTCATTAAAGTGTCAGCCTAGCTCAGTTGATAACTCTCTTGCTCAGGGTCAAAAGATTGTCAAATTTTGGGGCTTGAGATCATACACCAGAATGACATACCATTACAATTTTGGGTTAGTGCTGGGTTGTCAGAGATGGCTTCCTTTCTATGAGATGTTAAACTGAGGTTCCAACTGCTTGTTTGGCGGACATTAAGGATCCCATGACACTATCCTTCCAGTGTCCTGGACAACAACCCTCTCGTTAAATTGATCATTTGCCTCATGGTTGTTTCTGGGCCATTGCTGACTTCTATCTTCAAATACTCAGTGCAATTACCTGTAAAGTGCTTTGAAACATTTAAGTGCTATATCAAATATATTAACATTATTTAATCTGTCTCTGCAGCAGGCTGTAACTGGAAGGTTAAAAGCTGACCTGTTGATCTCCTTAAACCAATGTTCATTCCACGCCAATAGAATAATCTTATGCAAAATCAACTCAAACTATCTTTCTAATCACAGAGTTACTACATAGTTAATTGTATGTAAAGATAAGTTTAATATTAAGGTAATGTTAGTTAAAGCACTTGCATTTGCTAAGCCAATCATGGCTCAGTTACAAAGTGACTAAAGAATTGTGCTATATAATAGTATTAATAATCCGTGCATTTGATATAGCACCTTATCATGTCTTCAAGATGTCTCAAATAGCTCCAATCCAGGACTAAACTTTTCCTGTAATTTTGTTCACTTTAGTACACTGATTTGGGAATAAATCTTGAGAATGAACCAGAGGAAATATTCCCATTAACCAAATCTTATAGTACACCCGGTAAGCATGTTTACTGAGTATACTATAAAAAAGAACTAAGAGAATAGAACTTGGATTTTTATAGAGCCTCATCACATTGAAATATCTCAAACTTTGTTGTTAACTTTGTCCCTCTGGCTGTTCAGGTGGATGTTAAAGATCTCATGGCACTATTCGAGGGAAGGGAGTTTCTCTTTATGTCCTGGCAAACAATCCCCCAAATAAAATTGGTCACTCACTCCATGGCTGTTTGTGAGTCACTGCTCTGCGCTAACTGGCTGTTGTGTTTCGCCCCAAAATACACAGTGAATCCACTTCATGGTAAATTCTATGAAGCTCTTTGAGACATCTCAAAGACGTGATGAGATCTTACATGAAATGCAAATATTTTTCTTTATTATTTGTCAACAACTTTGTTGTCATTAAGTTGCACTGACGTTTTTGCAATATAAGTTGAACTTCATTATTTCACACAAAAATGGGCAGTATCAAAAAGGGGTGCCATTGAGGGCCCTCTGCTAAAATTAGGGTTGAGGATGTTTTTAGGGTCAGTGGAGGGAGACTTTAAATGTTTGTGTCTAACCATTTCTATATTTGACCTGGGAGTGTCTGATGGTGACACTGGGTGTCTAGAGTGGAAATGTATTCCATTCTCCAACACTGACATCAGTCACTGCATTGAGCATGAAAAAATTCATTGGAAATAAACAAGCAGTTCCTCTGTTTTCAATTAGAACAGTGTCTCATTCCTCTCAGGGCTTCTCTGTGAGGCTGAGTGCAGAAATTGACAAGGTGAGGAAATTGTGAGAGCAAGTCAAATTATTAACACTTTATCTACTCTTGTCTTCCAAAATTGTTTATTAGCCTGGCTTAGTTGGTAGCACTTTTGCTTCTATTCAGAAGGTTGTGGGTTCAAGCTCTACTTTAATAACAGTCTAGGCTAGCACTCCAATGCAAAATGCTGCATTATTGGAGATGCCACATCCTTCAGATAAGATGTTAAACCGAGATCCTATCTGCTTGTTCAGGTGGACATTAACAAATCCTCTGGCATTATTTGAAGAGAGAAGGGAATTTCTCCTGGTATTCTGGCCAACAATCCTACATTGTTGTGGAGTCCTGTAGCTCAGTGGTTAGAGCACTCGCTTTGCAAGTGAGACACCTGAGTTCAATTCCAGGCAGAGGGCGAAACCCTGGGCAAGTTTCCTTACTCCACACGTCTAATAATAATCCCTCCAAAAACCAAAAACAATAATAAATTGGTCATTTTCAATCTACGACTGTTTGTGGGACATTGCTGTGCACAATTGGCTGCCGCGTTCTCCCACAAATAATAATAATAAATAATAATAATCCTTGCATTTGATATAGCGCTTTTCACTTCGGGAGGACGTCCCAAAGCGCTTCACAGAACACACTGTAAAGTGAATTGACTGTATATTTGTGGGAGAACGCGGCAGCCAATTGCGCACAGCAATGTCCCACAAGCAGTCGTAGATTGAAAATGACCAATTTATTATTGTTTTTGGTTTTGGAGGGATTATTATTAGGCGTGTGGAGTATGGAAACTTGCCCAAGGTTTCGCCCTCTGCCTGGAACTGAACTCAGGTCTCTCACTTGCAAATCGAGTGCTCTAACCACTGAGCTACAGGACTCCACAAATATACAGTCAATTCACTTTACAGTGTGTTCTGTGAAGCGCTTTGGGACGTCCTCCTGACGTGAAAAGCGCTATATCAAATGCAAGGATTATTATTATTATTACATATTAAAAAATAATTGATCATTCACTTGACGGCTATTAGAAGGCTATGTGTTCTGTCTGGCATGTTTTCCCATAGCTTTTCCAACTTGGACCATTCTATCCAGTATGACTTTGGTTTGCAGGGTTAACAGGAGCTGAGTGCAAAGAATCCCTGCCCTTCCATGTCCTGCCGTTGAGCCAGGCTGAGTGTACTGTCATCAGCAGTGCCTTGGAATACTGCCTGGCTCAGGAACCAGGATTACCGAGACCTCCACAGAGGATTGGCTCAATTCTGACTTTCTGCTGCCAAACATAGTTATTATTTTCATTATTATCAAACATGTTGTTCGGATCTGGAATCCATTGCCTGAAAGGGTGGTGGCAGCCGATTCAATAACAACTTTCAAGAGAGAAGTAGATAGATATTTATGGGGAGAGAGCGGGGCAGTGGAACTAATTTGGACAGCTCTTTTAAAGAGCCGGCATAGACACAATGGGCTGAATGGCCTTCCTCTGCGCTGCATAACTCTATGACTCTATGTCACTTTGGAGCCAGTTAAGTTCTGAGGAGACCCTGCTTATCCCCCCCGCTCCACAGAGGAAAATAGTTATTTGCAAATTGGTTGCCACATTTGCTTACAAATACACAGTACTACACCTTATAGTAAATCCTGTGAAATGTTTTGAGACATTCTCCCGACGTGAAAGAAACTCCGTTAACTGCAAGAATTATTATTATCAGAGACTGTGCCTGCAAAACAAGCAGGAATTGTGTATCTCAGTTTATTCTTTTAACTTGGACATCTTTTGAACTTCTCCAGCTGGCTAAAGTCCTTGTTTATTTATGTGTGGAAAGCAAATCGTTGTCAAAGCTGTTAGGCCTTTTAATTCCTTTTGATTTAATGTGCTATTGTTAGTACCAGCATTTTCTATTTGTTTTGGCTCTGCACAATCCAAATATGGTCCATATTTTAAAAGCACTCTGCCATTTATAAAAGAAAGTTTTTTTTTTTAACCTCTTCGCTTATTGTTCTCATGGAAAGCATTTGATACAGTTTTTTCTTTTTCTACTAAGACATCGTCCCAAAGGTGCCGCTCTCACTACATTGCCATTATTCAACTGTGAGCTTTGACAGCGAGTGATGACAGGTTATTTGACCACAGTGGGAGGTTGGAGGGAGAGTATATCACAGCTGAGCTCAGCTCTGTCCTCACCCGGCATCCACACACATAGTTCATACACACACCCCCTACTCCCATTGCTCCCATCATACTTGAATCATCTCTGCAATGCAATAATACATTCAATAATATTTATAAAAGGAAGTCTTTTTGGCATGTCCAGGATCTATTATCTCAGATATACTGAATGATGTTTAATGCATGGGACCTAGATATCAGGTAGAGTTCTGTCAAAATTAGCCAGTTTGATATAGCATGTTATCCCATCACCAAAACATCTCAAAGGACTTCAGTGACTCAGTGAATTGCAGTGACTGTGTGAATATGAGCAACCTTGCCAAAGCAGTGCAATGCCCTCCCTCCACTGTGTTGGAGTATTTGAATTCAAAGTTCTGTTGTGGGGCTTAAGTTATATCTGGAATTTGCAAATATATTGTTTCACTTAATGCTGTTTTCCAATAGAATAGACAACCAATATATGTTATATAGTATCTAGTATGGGTCCATACATACACTAGAAGAGCAGCCAAACAGAGATTAATAAAATAAAGAGTCTGGACCATTACATCATTCAGCTGCTGTTTCATGGACAACCAGAAAACCGTTGCGTAAGGAAATCTAGCAAAATACTTAAGGGCCTTAGGGTACCCTAGTGCTCAGCACTGTGCAGCTTCTGAGGAATGTATACAGAACCCACAATCCAGACTGTAGACCCTGTACCGCATATCATTAACCAGACAAGGTTAGCCGAGCACATTTTGACTTCCACTGCCGGTAGATTGTGGTCAATGTTCAGAACCACACAAGTGCACGGGGTTTGTAGCCTCTTCAACTGCCTTGTACCAATGAAAACACAGGCAGTGATCACTCACCACAAAGTGGAAAGTATTAAAAAAGTAACTAAGAACTGAACCATGTTCTGAAGATTTAAAGCACCTGAGTAGCATATTTCCTTAATCTAAAGCAATGATAGATTTTAGGTTTGGGGTGGGGGGTAGGAATTTTACAGCAATTTTAAGGCACCGTCACTTCTAAGGCACATGGACCCTAATTTTGGAGGGGGTTTTAATGAATGAAATGCCTTAAATCTAAGTAAATTTAAGGCATTCAATTATTCCATTCAGCATGTTCACACTGGAGTGAAACTAAGATTGCAGGCATTGAAAACAACTCTAGATGATAATAATCCATGCATTTGATACAGCGCCTTATCATGTCTTCCAGACGTCTCAAAGCTCTTCACAGAATATAATGTAAAGTGAATTGACTGTAAACATGATGTATTGTTTCTATGAATTAAAACTAATTGAGAATATTGTGCTCTTCATCCTCAGATCTGCTCAGTGAATATGCTCCATGCAGTCCAAATTGGCCATTAGAAGAAAGTGGTTATCTGTATGAACAAAGACCCTACGGAGAGCATGAATTGTATCTCAAAAGGCACGAACATTTCCCGATAAGCAACGAGGAAATCAATGCAACTGAGGAAGGTACTTTCTTTACCTTGAATTTTTCAGCAGTGAGAAAGTGAACCAAAACATCTGCTCTGAATTACATACTGCACAGAAACAAGCCATTCGGCACTGCCTAGTTTATGCTGGTGTTTTTCTCCACATTTGTTTCCTCCCTCTGGCCTATAATAAGAACATAAGAATTTGCTAGGCGAAAGAAGACCAAGGTCCATCTAGTTCACCTTCCACCATCCTGGAAGCCGCTTGACATATCATGTCCCAAACTATATACTGTATCCTGAGATATTAATTTTCAGCAGAAATCTATCTAATTTGTTTTGAATCAACTGACATTTTCTGCTTCCACCGTCTCCCTAGGAAGTCTCAGTGGCAACCATACCCTGACATTTCCAGTTTTTACCAAGATGCCGCTGACACAGGGAGGGTTTCTGCACACTATACACAGAAAGCCAGCTAGTCAACACCAGAAGTGTACCGCACTTCCAACATGTGGGTCCATGATGTACCCACACTACATGTTTTATTGGACCCACAGTATACTAAATGTGATATAATGGGCCTAATTATATAAAGCAGTTCACTGGTTAGTACTGAAATGCTGACCAGATTCCTTATTAAGTTGTACTGACTTTGCAAAATTATTTGCTGTTCCTCTTGGCCTCATCAGCGCTTTGTTTTCCTTGAAATCCCACCTGAAAATTTACCTCTTCAACCAATGACTATGGTCACCCCTCCCATCGCCAGTCTCCCTTGCTCAATATCCAACTCTACCATTGTGATTAGTTCCAAGGTATTATCCTATGTGAAGATGCTGCATAAGTCCATGTTATTGTTTTGTTGTTCTGTCGATGCAATGGCAAAATTCATATAAATAGGTTTTACACATAAGAAAATTGCAATAATGCAGCATGACATTTTCTATCAATGTATAAATCTTTGGGATCTTGTTATCTCTTAGGTGTGGAGCCATCTTTCAGCCACTTACCCACAAACCTCACCTGGACTCCAGAATTTGAAATGAGAGGTTCAGAGGAAGTAGCAACAAGAACAGTTTTGCAGCGCCTAATCCAGGAGCAGTTAAGGTATGGGAATCCGAATGAGAACATGAACCTGCTGGCAATACAGCAGCAAGCCACAGGAAGCACAGAACCATCCAATAGTACCGGGAGCACGGTCTCTTCCACTGAGAACCTCATGCAGGAAGAGCCGCAAATGGTCCGCCAGTCAGCACGCCAGGAACCTCAAGGGCAAGAGCATCAGGTGGACAACAGTGTAATGGAGAAGCAGGTACGGGTCACTCAACCGCAGCAGAACATTGAAGAGCTACCAACTTACGAGGAAGCCAAAGCACAGTCCCAGTTCCTCAGAGGTCAGCAACAAGCAACCGCCGCCCCTGGTTTCTATGTTACAGAAGTTGTCAATCAGAAAGCAAGAACAGAGGGGAGACCCACAGTTAATCGAGCGAGCGTTGGCCAGGCACACAAAGATGAAGCACTTAAAGAACTTAAACAAGGTCATGTTCGTTCACTCAGCGAGCGGCTAATGCAGCTTTCCCTGGAGAGGAATGGTGTTAAGTCCCATCCTCCTGTCTCAAACAACAGCTTTCCTTCTCATCATGCCAGCAAAACCTATAAGAATGGAGGACATGGCACTGCTCCACCCTCTCCAAAGGGATTAGACCCACGAGGCCCACCACCAGAATACCCTTTTAAAGGCAAGCAACTGTTGCCTGCACTTAACAAGCCTCAGGACCATGGGCACTTTTACAATGATCCACACTCCAGAATGCTGCAAGAAGTAGCCAAACCATACCAAGCAACTCAGACAATTAGACAGGAAGCAACCATCCTGCGATATCAGTCACCCCCAGAATATGGATCAGCCAGGTAAAAAAAAATTACCTTTCTAGTCTTCACATACAAGCAATCCTTGTGTGAAATAATTAAATGAGAGTGAACGAAGTACTCTGAGCTGTATTTAAGTTGAGACTTCCCTGGAGAGAAATTTTATGAATGAAGTATCACTCCATCCTCACCAGGCTCCACTGGCTCCCCATCTCCAAAGGATAGAGTTCAAAATCCTCGCCCTCGCCTTCAAGGCAATCCACTGCCTTGTTCCTCCCAACCTCTGTGGCCTACTAACGCCACATCGACCTGTCAGCTCCCTCCGCTTATCAGGCTGTGGCCTACTCCACATTCCCCGCCTGGTCTGCCCCACCATCGGAATTCCTACCCACAGTCCCTTTGCACATCTCAAAATCCTCCTCTTCGACCATGTTTTCACCCACCTACCCCTCCCCTCCCTGCTCTCTACCCCTCCTGATCTCAACCCCCTAATCCCTGATTGTCCAGCACCTTGGGACATCCTGCCGACGTGAAGTTTGTTGTTGTTGTGAGACTGGAAATTGCTGCACAAGATACACTTCATTATTCAGACGTTTCTTTATTGAAAGCATGTATTGTATTAGGCTAACTCCAACATGATTTGCTAATATAAATATATTGCTGCTTTCTCAGTATATGTACAATTTCATAATATGACATTACATATTTAATCTTCATACAATCACAGCATTTTTAAGCACAGAAAAATAACCTTCAGCCCAACATAATATACTGGCTCACTGTAAGCTGTCTCTTTAGTTCCATTCTCCATTGGCTTTTTCCCCATTCCATTTTTCCTTTTCAGATGTTTGTCCAATTCTCTTTTTAAAAGTTACAGGACAACCCAATATAATTGTTTGCAGTCACAATCAAATTGATATGATGACTTTGTTCCATAAATCCATTGGGATCTGATTAATTGACTCTCATACCCATTGATTTCTATAGAACCATAGAATGTTACAGCACAGAAGAAGGCCCATTGTGTCTGTGATGGCTCTTTGAAAAACGGATCCATTTGGTACCATTTACCTATCTTTTCACCTGGAAATTAATCCTCTTTTGCCACCTGTTTAGTTCCTATATTGGAAACATAGGTCAATGTATGTATGGAACTCGCTACCCCAAAGGGCTGTTGACGCTCAGTCCTTGAACATATTCAAGACTGAGATAGATAGATTTCTTATTGCAAAAGGTATTAAAGGATATGGGGATAAGGCAGGGTCAGGTTATTAGCTGGAGTTAGATTAGAAGATCAGCCATGATTGAATGGCAGGGCAGGCTTGAAGGGCTGAATGGCCTACTCCTGATCCTACATGTTATGTTATGTGATTGCAATAGACTTGACATTTTTAGTAAGATGGTATGCATTCATATCATCTCCTCTTTCAATTTAAAGCACTCTAATATCAAATGCACCATCACTTGCTTTGTGGAACACAACTGATGTTTGAGCGAATCTAAGATACCTTATATCTGCTTCTATTTTGATGGTTAGCTTTTAAAAATAAGATAAACAAAATATAAAGGAATTTTGGCCTTTAGTTGATACCAGAAAAATCATGTAAAATCCTCATTAATCTCATATGGCATTCCATTAGTTATGACACAATAATAATATCTTTACATTTGATATTTTCAGGAGGATATGTCAAAGCGATTCGCAGTATCTATTGTAAAGAGTAGTGACTGTGTGTTTTGTAGATGGATACAGTTGAACATAAGAACAGGGATGTCCAATTTGGCCCATTGAGCCATTGAGCTCTATCGAATCCCAATTCCCCTCTTTTTCTCCACATCACTTAATTAGCCTTAATTTCCAGAACACTATCAAATAATGTGTTAAAAAAGAGCTTGTTAACCACATTATTTGGTGGTGTTCTGGAACAATGACTTCCACACGCTCACAGCTTTCGTTTGAAGAAATGGTTCTTTGATTCACTTTAAAATGCTTTGGCTCGAATTTTAAAATTATGTCCACTAAAGTAGAGAGAGGAGTCATTCCCTATCCTTGACAGTTCCCTTTATTATTTTAAAGACTTCAATGAGATCATCTTTTAAACTCATCTTTAGGGAATATAAGCAAAATGTACCCAGCCTAAATCCCTTTATCCCAGGTATCATCCTGATGTATCATCACTGGATTTGTTTCAGTGCTAATATATCCTTCCTAAGGTGGGTTCAGTTGACTAAGCAGAGATGTGTTTAAATTTTCAGAATCAACTGTTACAGTACAGGTAGCTCCAGGAATTTCTGGACTAATAATTTGTATTTTTGTTTGCTTTTTTAATAACAGTGTTAACTACAAAAAAAGGGGAAAAAATGTTAAACATGGATCAAAACAAACACAGCAATGTACATGGGAAAATAAGCTTAGTGTGAAATAATTAACAACATGTAACTACGATACATATTTCTTTAGTCGACAGTAGGTTAGGCTACACATCTGTGCTGAGTTAGCTGATTTCAGCTAGAATGTCAATTGGGCACTGTACTATAATTGGCCTCAGTGGGCCTGGGTTACAGAAGGAAAGGTTATCACATTCTTGCTCCTGATTATTATCCAGATTTGTGTGAATATCAGGTGAAGATAGATTGGGATGGGTTATAATGCCTCCCTCCAAATCTCTTGAATGATAGGCATCCAATGAAGAACTCCACTCTCTTCCAGTTGTTCCTTTTAGTAAAACAAATATGGAAATTAGTGTAAAGTATTAGGAAAAAACTCAACTTATCAGTCTTGCTAAGGCCAAGTCTGAATGAAAAAGGACAACAACAAAATTACATTTGTAAAGCGTTTTTCACACCAGGAGGACGTCCCAAGGTGCTGAACGGTGGGGGATCAGGAGGGGCAGGTTTGGGATGAGGGAAGGCAGAGAAGTAGGAGAGCGGCTGAAGACATGGTCGAAAAGGAGGGTTTTGAGTAGTGCCTTGAAGGAGGCATTAGAGGGAGCAAGGCGAAGGGAATGTGGGATGGAGTTTCAAAGGATGGGGGCAGAGAGGCTGAAAGCCCGGCCACTGATAGTAGGCCAACAACTTGTATATAACTTTATATACTGCCCTTCACACTGGTAGTGTCTTGGAATGCGTAATAAGTGAATGGAAATGTTGCATTTGGCCAACAGAGTAAAAGTTTCACCACTCTGACTTGTGACTGTTGTCAAAAAAAATTGGTCACTCAATCCACGACTGTATGTGGGATACTGCTGTGTGCTATTGGCTGCCGTGTTTCGCCCACAAAATATACAGTCAATTCACTTTACAGTATATCCTGTGAAGTGTTTTGAGACTTCCCGAAGAAGTGATAAGGCACTATATCAAAATGCAAGGATTGTTATTATTATTATAGTATCAGAAGGAGGCAAATCTGGCATTTAATCACTTTGCAAGCCTAAAAAATCAAAGGTGGGAAAATGCTCCATTTTAGAGGAATCCTTCCTCAGCAGGACAAGTAAAAAACAACGACACATTTATCCTTTATTCCTATTAGCATTCCACCCAAGCTCCCACTTGACTAGGGATCACATTCCATCTACGTGTACTGCTTTTGAGACTGCTTCCTATGTGAAAGACACTGTACAAGTGCAAATTATTACTATGCTGTTATGGAGATCATCTCATTGCACATGCACTTTATCAGTCAGTGCCCCATGCAACAGGCATATCACCTCTATGTATTTTTGTAATGCTAGTTTCCAAACAATAGTTTGGTGCATTGTTAAGGTGCTTTGGAGCAATTGCTGGCTATATGGAGTGTAGTGGGTATTTATGCGGTTTATAATCTGTAGCATTTTGAAATAAAATTTAGATTGGTTTTGCAAAGACTGAATGAAATGGTTTGCAATCAAAAAGATCTCAAATATAGCATGAATTTTAACAGTGGGGCTGTAATTTGTAATATTTACAAACCGGATTTGTAACATCCATTGTGACTTTCTGTTTGTGACATTCACAGTCAGTTAATCCAGAATTGGGATTGTCCAGAAAAATGCCTGAGGACAAAATGTAGAGGGGAAACCTTTTGAAGGGATCTACTGTTAATATCTTAAGTCTTTCTTTCTACAGTGTTTGTATAAGCAGAGTTCTGGGGCAGCCAGTTCCAGGAGCTGTCCTACAGCTTTCTGAAATGCTAAAATGTCTCTTCTAAATATTGTTGCAATTTGAGAGAATGCTTAATTTTTTTCACACTAAGTCCTGGAACTTTAACATTTTTCAAGTCCTAGCAAGAATGTGGAAATGTATATTCTGCTCCCATATATGATCCACTGACTTATTGAGTTTCTTGTTGCTGCCATTTTCCAGGCAATGTCAGGCATCTTTCCAGCCCCTGCCCTTGCAGCACCACAGCCCCATGTCTTCCCTGTGCTGTTCAGAAAAGAACACAATGCAACCAGCACTTGTGGTGGCACCATTACCCCACCTGCCCCAGCCCCAGCCAGCCGCCTTGCCAAGTCAGCAGCTGCCAGCCGATGCCATCGCAATCGTGGCACGAGCTCAGCAGATGGTGGAGATATTATCAGAAGAAAACCGTGCCTTACGCCAGGAGCTGGAGGGCTTCTATGAAAAAACTGCTAAACTACAAAAGGTACTGTGCGTTTTTTCTATTCTTTCACATTGTCAGCAGGCCAAGTTCCAACGATAGCTCATTGTTGAGGTGCTTTGCCACAGTTGCTGGCCATATGGTGTGGAGTTGCTGTTTATCCTGTTATATAATCTGTCGGGTTTTTAAAAAAATAATATTTCTTTCATCTATTCATTTTATTTGAAGGACCCAAAAACACAACCATTATAAATAATAGCTTAATAATCAAGGTGTATATGGAGCAAAAATAAAATGAAATAAAACAAAATGCTACACTTGATGGTTAAGTATTGACTTTGAAGGATGAGTATGTCTTGTGCTCTGCAGTCAGTACATTTACTGAAAGCAGTGTGAGGTTCTTGTGTGAGTTTATACTATAATATATCTCTCTGCTCCAGCCTGCTTCTTCATTGCTCTTTTATTAAATTCTCATTGTTTCTTATTTTCTTTCCTACTTTCTCTGCCAAAGTTTCTCCGCAGTGTGCATTATAATAAATGGCAAAAAGGTTAGGGGCCAATGGTCAGTAGAATTATAACCACTGTAGCATTGTTCTGTGTCAAGCAATGTGTTGAATATTTGTCTTGGTTTAGTCAACTCTTATGTAGAAACGCTGAATGCTGAACCTTGCATTTTCATTATTATTATTGTTTCTTAAGAGATTTGATGTGATAATTATCAAACCTTTTATGAAACACATTTCACCCCAGCAGTGAGTGTATTGAGATACAGCCTTAATCTTCCACACTTTTTATAAAGTGTGGAATTTGTTGGCCGTATTGTTGGCCAGAACACTGGGAGAAACTCCTTTCTCATTTCGGATAGTGCCATGGTATCTTTAATGTCCAGACAGCTGTGTGAAAGGTTTGACCAGATTCCAAATCGGTGTGCATTTTCCTGAAGAAGTGTCAGGTTAATAAACAGTAAGTAAGTATGCTGCACTCCTAAAGCATGCTGTGTGAGAGCCAAGTGTTTCCAGCTTATACAGTGTGCATTATAGTGACTGCCTCAAAACATTTGAGAAACTGCGTTTAAAAAGATCAAAAGCCAATAACGTAACTGTTTGTGTTGCAGCTGAAAGCAGCAGCAAGTGGAAGAAATTTGATTTCTTTACAACGTTTTTGATACAGTTTTGTGGCTAAATTGCTGCATTTGTAAACAGATTTTCAGATTTCTCTAGATGTGGCAAATTATAGTTTGGATATTCTTGAATGATTCTTGAATAACCCATGTTTTTTGATTGTACTCTGACATTATTTGTGGTGCTCTGCCATGATATCTGTTCTCTCAGTTGTGAAAAATCTGTTCAGTTCTGTACAGAGTCGCCAAGAGAGAAGTCTTGAAATGCCCTCAATCCTTGTACTGCTGACCAGTGCACATTGGAGGAGTTGAAGGGACTCTACAAAAATGGTCATTGCTGTCTGTCTTTCCCCCCAGTATCAGCCTGGCTAAGTTGGTAGCCCTTTTGCCTCTGAGTCAGACGGTTGTGGCATTTTGATAGAACTCACAAAGTCTTAAAATGACACTCCAATCCAAGTTGAGGAGATCTGCATTGTGGGAGGTGCCATCCTTTGGATGAGAGGTTAACTGTGATCCTGTCTACCTGTTCAGATGAACATGAAAGATCCCATGGCACCATTTGATAAGAGAGTGTCTCCCAGTCCTGGCCTAGATTTTTATTAAGTGGTCATCTACTTCATGACTGTTTGTGGGTCATTGCTGTGCACAAATTGGCTGCGCATAAAATACACAATCGCCGCACTTTTAGTTTAAACTCTGTGACGTGTCTTGAAACTGCCTCCCAATATGAGAGGCACTATTACTAACTACACAGCCACTACACTTTGCAGTATATTCTGTGAAGCACTTTGAAACATCTCAATGACGTGATAAGGCACTATGTCAAATGCAAGGATCATCATTATTATTATTACTATTATTATAAATGCATTGAGACATACTCCCAACATAAATGCAAGGATTATTTTCTTTTTATCTTATTATTTTCTTTCAAGTTTTTCTAAAAAAAATCTTAACAGCCATTTTGAATCAATAGAGGCATGAAATTTCAAATAGTATTAACATCAAGACCATTATCTGAAAATGATCCGCCTGTTACTAGAGGTAATCCTACATCACTCACTGCTATTTTGCCCTGAATTGGACTGAAATTCTGATCGGCGTTTCATGTAGCAACTTGGCAATGTTGGCTGCTAATAGAATTTCGCCATTCCCACGTTACCAAAGGAGCTACACATAACATCAATCAGAATATCAATCCACATGTTCTTACTTTATCCCCGTCCCTGTGCTGTAACCACTTCATCTCAATAGGATTATTGAGCCTTTTCTCACATTGTCTGTAATTTACATAAATTATTCTGGAAACAGGTTTTGGTTTTCCAGACACTTATTTGAATTTACAGTGCGGGATCCTGATAGTCATGTTGGGTCACATAAAGCAATGAATAAATTTTGTTTAAATTCTGTGCAGAGTGTTTGGCACTTAGAAGAATAAACACTCCAACAGGCTTGTTTTTGGCGTGTCTTGAATTTTCCCCATCTCTGTTTGTTTAATGTGATCCAACTGTAAAGATTCTCAAGAATTAAGAATCTTTAGCCAAACACATTAAGCAGGTTACCTGTCACCACTGAGACTTTCACCACAGGCCAACATTTTCATTGTAGGGGTCCAAGTTACTGTGAAACTATTGTCATCATAAAATAAAAGATGATTTGGGCATATATTCAACAAAGGTTACATTTTCTGGAGAATGAGTTATTTCATCAGATGCCATATGTTTTGATCACTTTAGATGAAGTGGCGTTTCGCTGGTCTTTACCCATGTCAATGAGGATGATACACACACTGGGTTATTGTTGCTAAACTGGTATTGACAGTACATAATAGCGACTGCTAGGTTTCTATGATAAGGCCATTGCAGAACTAATAGAAGTCTTAATCCATATCATGCCCAATTTCTAGTTAAGACTCAGCAAAGAGCATATAGTAGTTCAACACAAAGAGGTTGTGCAGGGTCTGATGTCAGTGCCAGGGAGAGAAATTAGTTTTAGAGTGAAGAGCGATAAGATAAGGTCGTGCCTCTTCTGTTTTGAAGAGAGATGTCTGGGAGGAGACCTGCTAGAGGAATGTAAAATGCCAATGGGATGGAGAAAGTAAACTCTGAGCAATACTTGCAGATTCCCAAAGCAACAGAACAACAACAACAAAATTACATTTGTATAGCGCCTTTCATGTCGGGAGGACGTTAACAACAAGGTTAATTGTTGTTAAGAGTAACCTTAGGATGGACACCAGGAACATTTTATTTACAGAGGGTAAATAACAACTGAAACAGATTACCAGTAGGGAAGGAAAGGCCAGGACCCTGGAATCATTGAAGAGATAGCTCAAGGTGATGGGAGGATGATGGAGTGGGCATTCTGGAAAAATGAGATGAAATAGGATGAATAACATATTTCATCTGAACCTCTCTTGTGACTCTGTGATCTATGGTTTAAACTTAGCCATTTACATTTTTTTTTCTTTCGCACAGAACTAGTGATTGATGTGTGCTCATTTTAACAAAAGGTACAACAACGTACTGAATGTACTGTGCTCAAAAAAGTGCCCAGAATCAGAAGTTCCTGTTAATTTGTCATGCTAATCTGTCACTTGAGCACCTCGCAGTATTGCTGGTCAGTGCAAGCTCAGCACTGGAGTACTGATTCACCTATCACATAAGAAATCGGAGGCCAAAAACTCAAGTTTTAACTTGAAAAATGTTCTTCCGCTTTCAGGTTAAAACTAGAGTTAAAAAGAACTAGCTTCCAAACTAAAACTGGCTTAAGAATTTTCCCCAATTCTGTGAAGAGAATCGCAAAATCTTACATTTAAGAGCAAAATGGCCATAAATGTAGCTTTTCAAAAATGTAATTGTTTGCATAATCTTTTTCAGGTATCCTATGTACCTGATTTTTTTGGTTCCCTATACATGCATTATACCTGGATGCTAGAGAACTAGACATTGCTATGCATCTTCATGTGAGTTTGCTTCTCCCAAATGAACAAGTGTATTTTCTTCTTTTTCACATAAACTTTTTGCCTTCAATATTTCTTCTCTTTCCTCCTCCCCCTCTCCTGGACATATTTGACTCAGTTTTCCTACCTCTGGGCAACGATCTCACAAGCTATGGGGGTTTTCTGGTATTTTGTCTGTCCAAATGGTATTTGTTCATTTGTGAGCCTCACAGTGAGCGCTGGCATTTTGATACAGGAAGCGATGGTACAGCAGCTGAGTCTGATGTTGGCATTGTTCAACAATTACATGCACACTGGTTCTAGGAGGTGGCTCATTTGGATGCAGGAACCTTACAGGAAAGAACAATTCAAGTCCCCATTTCTCACTCAGGTCAGTGACCGCTGCTGTGTAGTTAATGCAAGTGTTGCCAACGCGAAGTGGAGACCGAATTGGGTGTGGCTGGTGTCCCTTCCTGATTGAGCAGCTTGCTGACGTTCACTCTCTAGGCTTGCACACGAGGGCAGTTACTGGGGTGAGTTGAGCAGAGTGGCCAGCACCCAAACTGCAGCCAGCCTGACTTCAATGCTTTCACAGGGCAAGAATAACACCGCTCCTGGATACAGAGCATTTCTGATACGGCGCCTTCAGTAATCCTGCAAATTTGGATACAATGAGGTAGTACGATTTGACCCACTGTATGCTCTCCTGCTTCAGATGACCCTGGAAACATTCACAAAGCGTTGTTGCCACTGCCTAGCCGGCCTCCTGGTCACAGGGTGCAGGCTCAGTGGAATTCTGTGACTTCAGAGATGACCCCGGGAATTGCAAAAGTAAGCGCGAGCAGCCATGCTGTATTAATGTTGCGGGCGTGATAATACAGTCTCATTCTTTTTAAGAGTTAAGACATGAGCTGAACTGTATGGAAAGTATATCTTCCTTTCCCACTCCCCCATGGCAATCATTTTATTTCTATTGAATTTGTGTTTGATCGCAGTTTGGTAAACTACAGAGCAAGCGTGTTTTCCATGTCGGGGATGAAATAAATTACGGGGAGGTCATGTTGATGCAAGTTGTACATGTTTTGTGTAGAAAGGAATGGTTCTAGACAGCTGAACAGTCTTCTCTCCTTTATGTTTATATGTTTGTATACCCTTGTGGTACAGCATATTTCTGCAGATATCTTAGGCCAGACTGAACTGGAACAGATATTTGTCAGGTTCAGACAAAGTCAGATTGATTACAAATCTGTCAGACCTTTTGTTATTGTCCAGAGGCCTTGTCTAACCCACAGAATCTGGCTCCTACAAACATGGCTAGATATTTGAGCCGCAACCATATTTAGTTATGAAGTCCGGCGATCAATGTTATGAAAAGTGTGTGGGCTAAGCAGACACAAAGACCAGTTTAACTCTCTAATTTCAAGAGTGCCCACGAGTGCCTGTAATTTTCACAGAGCTCACTGCAGTGGAAACATATGGCCCTTGTAGAATCCCATGAATCTCAAGCATGGATAATTGGAATTCTTCCAAATGGCAAGAGGAACCCAGGAGAGTTCCCTGCTGCACTGCAACAGAAGATTTGGAACAAAAACTTCAGGTTTCAAAGAGGAAAGCACAACTGTACAGATAAACCAATTTATAGAATTGTTTCTCCGAAGGAGGTGTTGTAAAGGAAGGGTTGTAACAACTGTTTCTCTTCATTAGTTTGACGTAAGTCACTTTTGAAACTTCCACTGACATCTGTTTCCTGTCCACTCCCACGCTTTTACCTTGTTTTAATCCAGCAATTCTGCTTTAACTTTAAGAGTATGATTAACAGCTTAAGCCAGACACGGCTTCTGGTGTCTGGCTGAAACAGGCACTGTTGGGTCAATTGGCATCAGAGGTTCTCAGTGGGCTGAAAGAATTTTCAAAGGAAATTGTGAGGCTTCTGTTATCTTCAGTGGAACTTGAGCCCGATTTGACTGTGTTCTGCCCTCCTCCAAGATTTCTTAAACAAAAGACGCTTTAATAGGACTCCTTGTACTCGAAGGATGTTGTGGGTCTGCATTCTGTCAGTGTAACCGCAGAACTGTGTGGAGTCAGTCATATTGGCTCTGTTTGTGATTTGAAAGCAAAAAGGTGCTGATAACTCCCATTACTTTGTGGAGTTTTTAAATGTTAAATCTGCATTTTATTCGATTCTCATGATAGGTGCCATAAATCATAATTGCATAAGAAGCATGTAGGGTAGGCGATTGAACCCGATAGCAACAAATATAGACCTGAAGGTACTGCATTAAAGTCCTTTTGTCACTATTCATTGCTTGTAAGAAACAGGGAATAGTAATAGATCTTCTGAACTCAGCATCAACTTTGTCATGTGCATTTCACGTTGGACATGTTGTGCTTGTGATGTGGCCTGCACGTTCTAGTTACGGTTACATGCTGACGCTATTGGAAACAAACATCTGAAGCACCTGAAATGGCAGATGGGATGATCCAGGGTCTTTGAAATTTGATAGGCTAGAGGGAAGTTCTAAGGTGTAGTGGATCAAAGGTTCAATGGATCTGTACCACATCACATTGTTCACTATTCAATACCCGCAGGACAGAGACATCTAAGGTAAACCTTTACTAGGAATGAGATTTTATACATGTAAAGAGTAACAGATCATAAACCTTGGGGGTGTCAATAAAATCTCCACCCGAATTCTGCCAGGTGTGAAGATAAGAATCAGCTGGTAGTTAGGTTTAGGCTCAATTTCATTCAGGTAAAATGTTACATGTTTATTTAGACGAATGTTTTTCTTGGTGTTGCAATCTATCAATGTTTTTGTGTAGCGTTACTGGCTGGAATAATAATAATCCTTTGATACAGAATGATGGATACAGACAGAGTGAAACACACAGACTGAATGTAAACACAGTGAGATTATCACACTCACTCGCACTTGTTTCCTCACTTGCCCCTCCACTCTTTATCTCTCTCTCTTTCTCCCCACCCCCCCCACCCCACCTCCCTCATAGGTTTAGAAAAGGGGACAGAAACAGAAATTAAGGGAGTGTAAAACAGAAATATACCAAGTCAAACAGGAGACCGATTGACTCAAACTATACTTCATAGTTACTTTCACCCCCAAAGAATACAGTCACTATACCTCCTGTGAAGCACTTCTCCTGACATGAATAAATTATTATTAGCTATCCTGGGATTGCCAAGAGTACTTTTAATCTCACTGCCCTGCCTTATCCCCATACCTCTTCAAGCCTCTAACTTTCACATATCTATCTCCTTTCCTCTTCAAACCCACAATGGATTCTGCTTCTAATGTCTTATCTAGCAGGCAGTCCACATCCCAACAACTTCAAGAAACATAAGAAATGCTTCTATAAATACCTCCACAAGAGGATGCCTATCAGCATCCAACCACACAGTTTAGGATATGTTACTGAAATGGATTTTAATGCACTTCTTCAGTCTCCATGTTCTCCTCAACCGCATTGGGCTCTTAATGCTGCATTATTCAGCAGAGAATGGCAGACTGATTTCCTCCTCAAAATGATTGGAAATTTGTCAAAAGCAACCAGCGCAGCAATGCCCCATAAACAATCAATTTATCAGGAGGATTGCTGACTAGGACATAGGGTGAAACTCACTTCTCTTTTCGAATAGTGTCCTTGGATCTTTAACATTCACCTGAACAGACAGACTGGATCTCGGTTTAATGTCTCAAACAATGACCAATACCTCCAATGTTGCAATGCTCCTTCCAGCACTATACTTGAGTGTCAGTCTAAACTGAGTTCAAATTCCTCAACCTGAGGCCTGAATCCACAACCTCTGACTCAGAGGTGAGAATTTTGCCAGTGAGTCAAGCTTTATTCCATATAAAATCCTATCAAAGTTCCATAACTACATTTTTCTGTGGTTTAGTGATGGATATGGGTGCATAACTTCAAAGGAAGTTGTTTTGATATGCGGTCTCATGAATGGAGTCACATGCACATGTTTTAATGTTCTTGAAAGAACCAAGGAAGTCATGCGTCTTCTCTCAGTAGCCCCATTGAGTAAATGTGTGTGAGCATACACAATGGTTGACAATTGCTGAACTATTTTCGATTCCTTTGCAGTTTGAAATGGAAATCCAGCGGATCTCAGAAGCCTATGAGAACCTAGTGAAGTCCACCAACAAACGAGAGACTTTGGATAAAGCTATGAGGAACAAACTGGAAGGGGAAATTCGAAGACTCCATGACTTCAACAGGGACCTAAGAGGTATTTTTTTATATACCTGGATGTTAAAAAGAAAATATTCATATAGCGGAGTCTTACCCTCCATGTATACTAGTCTTTGATGCTTTCAATACTACTGTGCTAGATGTGTAACGAAACAAGTTTACAAATACAGAAGTTAATACTGGCATATGCAATAATTAAATTGCGTTACCACATGTGAGTGACTGTTTACCTTTTCTCTAAACAAGTAAATCACTATTAGGACTACTGTACAAAATTGTGGTTTATATGAATTAACTTTTTGTTAACAGTTTTATTTCTAAGCTCTTACTGTATTAAATCAATTCAGAAGTTTGCTCACCCACTGAGGTGGCCAATTCAGGGAATATAGTAAATTGAGGTTCAGTCCACATTGCTGACTATACTTCATGTTAGACCAACGGGGACATTTCCTGTAGAACAGGACGGTGATTTCAGGTCTACCTCAAAGCAACTCACTCAGTAGCTTTTCCAAGAGCTGACTAAGCTTTATATGTGCTTCGAACATATTCAAGTTTCCAACCATAGGTGAAGCAGGGATGTTGGCCTCTAATGTACAGCAAGCTTTTAATGAAGTTTGCTTAGTTGAAATTTTGAGCTGGAGAGAAAAGCATTACCCAATAGGGCTTCATTGGAAGGGAAGCCCTGAAATTACCATTTACATTTACAATATCTGATTCAGGACTAATAGAAAACCTTATGCAGGTAGTTTTCTTTGGTCGAACAGCACTGATTTGTTTACCTAGGGTAGCGGATTGCGCAACATCTTGGCATAAATGAATTTTGACATGTTTGAACAAAAAGGATTTCCTATTTCTATGTAGATCGCCTTGAGACTGCCAACAGGCAGCTGGCCAGCAGAGAGTACGATAGTACAGAAGATAACAAGACAACAGAGGGCCATTATATAACACAGAGTGAGTACTGAGGCATATTGCAGCAGGCTACTACAAGTCCTGCTGATGGCCATATGATGCATAAAAGGAGCTTACTATTTGTTGCAATGGATTTTTTCAAAAGTCCAAACTGAAAGGCAATCTTAATCTGATAGATGCAAATGCTTGACTTTTCCAAATGTGAAACTTTTTTACTGCATTTTTAAAAGGTGAATAATTTTATTATTTCTGTTTAATGTAAATCTGCATCAAAAGGTATTTTACGTGGAAAAATGCCAAAAGCCATATGTTACAAAAAGCAGATCGCTTTTTACTTTGGAATAACCTTTTTTTCAGTTTCTGCCCTGTGAAGCTTGGTTGAATCGTATCCAAAACAACATAGAATAACCAGATACAGTTTCCATTCACTCCAGTTCTTTGATGTAAACTTAGCATTTCTTGACAAAAATAGTTATGTGAGGATTCAGCTGAATTGTTCAATTATTCTGAAATCTTCAGCTGAAACAGATTTGTTGCTAAAGAGGAAGCTTGCTAGTACTTCTAATTATAAATTTTTGTATTTATTCTTCATAAAACCATTCAAGATTCGCATGGAGAAAAATTGAGCAGTTTCTAAAACCGTGCTTCTGTAAGCAAGGAGAGAAAAAATGGATGGGGAGAAATTTCACCAAATTACTCTATTTACTTAGCATTTCAGGGGATCCAGAATTTAACAAATTCTTTAATGCAGCCTTAATTTTGTAGCTGTTTTTCTGTATTTCTTTGAACAACCACAGAAAACCAGATTCAAAGACAAGACTGGATTTATTTTCCAATTACTGAAATATTCTAAAATACTACATTAATAGAATAAAAAATAATAAATGTTAATAGAGTAATAAATCCTTGCATTTGATATAGCACCTTTCATGTCCGGAGGCCATTTACTGTAAAGTGAAGTGGCTGTGTATTTTTCTAGGTAAGTAAATCTAGACCCGGATGGAATTTCTTCCCATAAATTTCTACATTCCGTTTCCTATCCATCGCAGACACTACCGACATGCTAAGGTTTGGTACTATTAAGTCACATTCATTAAAGATAATGAATTTGTTGATATTTAGTGGGCTATTCTGCTCTCTTCCCCATATGTAGCAGGCTAATAGATACATTCCCACCTCTGCCTGTTACTTAAGCATGTCTGTCTCTGCTAGACATGAGTATATTTAGTTCTTAGCTAGACTGTGCTCCTCCCTATGATGGTGGGATATTCTACTTCTCCAGATGGACCAACACGGTGGCATCATCTACCACCGGATATGAAGATGTTCACCCCAGCATCCAGCCTGATCACCCTCTCCCCACTCTCCTTCTAGGTCAAAGAGCCTACCAACAATTTCTACAGAAGGATGGAGAATAACAAAGCTAAATATATATGTGTAGAGTATCTTCTTTTGCATAAATCCACATCAGTGGGAGGGAAAATATAGAATCATTGGAGGCTTGTCAGGGAATGTAATGCTCCCTTATTTCATTTTTAACATTGTGACCTGCTCAGCTTCCCAATGTGCTGTATTTAGTTTCGGTTAGTGCTGTACATAGTCTGGCAGTGTCTATTTTCAGACTGGAAGCAATTCTCATATAAATGTGACTCAAGTGAGGTGGGAATTTTGTCTTGCTTGATTTTACAAAATATCAGGCTTTCCACGTGAGTAGCAGACAGAACCTTGGTTTAATGTATCAGTCGAAGAATGGTACCTCCAATAATGCACCCCCCCACTGATAGCACTGCATTGGACTGTCAATCTAGTCTAGGAGAGCTGTGATTTATAAGATATGTTGAGGTCTAACGTAAGATATTTGTAAACTGGATTTGTTCTGCAGTTTGTGACTTCCAGTTTGCAAATGTCCCATTGCAAGATTGGCGGCTGATTCCTCAAAAGTAAATCCCAAAGTAATAAAGTAAAGATAAGGCCTTCTGATTGCCAAACATTTTTCATTGGGATTCACTGTTCATAACCCTTCACCATTTCACAATCCGATATTTGTAAACCCCAGAAAAACGCAACAAATCCAGTTTACGAATGTTACACCCAATGGAGTATATTATAATGAATTGTCTTTTTTTTCCTCAAACCTTCATTGATTATTCTTTCCCCACTACTGTTTGTGGGTGATGGATTCCATTCCACTAGGATTTGTGAATGAAGGACTCAATAGAGCTGTTTATGTGTCTAAGATATCCACTTTGTAACCCCCTCCCCAACACACTTTTACAGCTGATGATAGTGTTTATATTTTAACACTGGCTGTCGGCCCATTCTCTGACATATCAACTGAGTAACATATATAGTTAACCAGTTTTGCAGCACTATAATTTAGCTTAAAAAATCTTACCCTTTATATTGCCCCTGGTTTTAGCTTCCAGTGGCATAATTATCGCCTTTGGGTGGAGTGACCACAAGTTTTAGAAAGTGGTTACACAATGATAATGTGCAACCAAATTCTTAACCAAACTCTGTTATTAACTTCTCATCTGAGACCATGGATTCCTACTAAATTCTTTGCTCATTTGGACCTGCCCAACATTTTGTCTGCATGTCAGTCAGGAGAGCAGATCTAGCAATTCAGAATAGCTGAGCATTGCATTATATTGCAGGGATCAGGAACAGATAGCAGAACCCATCCCTCCTTGTTGAGGTAGAGATCCAATTAGCTTGTTAGGAACAAGGCTGACAAATCCACAAGCAGACCTTGCTGCCATGTCATCTGAAAGTAGAATTGTAATAGTTGGTTGGAGCTGTGAGGATCTAAGGGAGGAAATTAGGAAAATACTAATAATCCTTGCATTTAACTGAACAAACCAGCCAACTAAGCTGTCTAAAATCTGCATTTTTGTCCTTTTTGTTTTCATCTTGGAATTGCTGCTTTTCCCATCTCCCACAAACAATCATGGATTGAACGACCAAATAATTTTTTTTTGTGAAGGGATCATTAGCCCCAGAAAGCATTCCGCCGATTGACTAACAGGTTCCTACTTACTGCTAGGTAAACATAGGCGTGTGGAATAAGGATACTTGCCTAAGGTTTAGCCCTGCCCGTAAATCGAACCCGGTCCTCCTTCTTGTGAGGCGAGTGGTCTAACCAATATGCTACAAAGACTCCAAGTTGCAGTGGTAACTGCAGGCACTTAAACATAAACCACATATAATGACACTTCATTATGGTCTGCAGACTGGGCTCGATTTACACCTTGAGCCAAACATAGCCATGATGTGATGTAATGTCATGTTAGGAAGGCACAAAAAAGTAAATTCAAGCTGGCCAATTCAAATAATTCTTCTTTTTCTTTTGCTTCCAGCCTCTGTATTTTTTTGTGTTCTGAGAAATTCCGATTGTAATTCAAAAAGCTGTCAGAACTGGAATTTATTAATCAAAAAGTTTGAACTCGATCTCTAGCACTAAGCCTCCCATTAGAGCAGAATATGTAGAGTGAAATGAGATTCTTGCTATGCTTGGATTGAAGCTTCACTTCCATAACTGAATGAACAGAAATAGTGCGTCCAATTCTATACTAGCACATTCCCTTGAATTAAGTTTGGATGAGCACATGTTGAGCATGCCAACAACAGCTGCGATGCTGGTTAAAGAGCTACGGTTTCTTATTGGATTATGTATGCTAGAAGCTTTACATACTTTAAATGAGCGCAGCACAGATTGAGCTTCAACTATCACACTCTAACCTGAACCACGAGAAATGCCATACATTTCTGTTTGAAGATGCTCTGGCCGGGCCCTGTGCCAGCTGTTTTTCTACAATGTCTATTGGCCTCCCATTGAACCTGTTTCTTTTATGAAAACAAGACTTAGTGGAAATTTCAGCAGGATATAATTGGAGTTTGGGGATTTCCTTAGTCTGTAAGAGAATTCTCACAGGAATGTGCGAAGTGCTCTGAGGTGCTTCTAATGAATTCAGGGAGGACGGGGGGGAGGGGGCGTGGGGTGGGGTGTAGAGGAGAAAGAGGGACATATACAGCTGGTTAGAAATCATGAGAGTCTAATTCAATCTGAATATTTGCATGTAATATAGCCAATCCTATATCTTACTGGGGGTTGTAGAAGACGTTTAGTTGAGAGGTTTGGTTTAATTAAACTAATGTAGGAATATCTCAATCTAGTATAGTACTAACTCAATCCAGGTCTGCAAACTACACTGATATGCCACAGTTTTGTACAACTGTTCAGAAAACTGCCAAGCCAGCTATCTGTTTCTTGGCTGCTGTTTTCATTAAAGATAACACTCCATTTTCAATGTTTGTTGAGTTGATCCAGTTCCGCTGAGGTTTTTGCATATAAAAGTTACTTTTTGGCTTGAGCATCTAAGCTGTCCATATTTGGATTGGCTCAGCTCGTAAACTTGGTTTGCTATATCACACTGAGAGTGATCTCTCTGGAAGGAAGGTAAGTGGGATCTTCTTGAAGTCAAAGTGGCATGCTTAGCAATGGAATGTTGGAATCGAGTCAATCCTCTGAGATGGTCTTGGTAGTCCAGTTCCTGAGCCAGGCAGCCTGCCTTATCAGCAAGACATACAGGGGCAGACTGCCATGGTCATTGGAAGCATGGATTTTTCCTACTCAGCTCCTGTTAACCCTGTACCCAAAGCCATTATGGTTAGGGTGGTTCTAGCTGGTCAAGCAGTGGGAAGCTTCCTAGACAGTGCACTTAATGGCAAGCAATGCAGTTTTATCTGATTCAATTCCAGCAGTATCCCAAAGCACACACTGGGTACCACAAGCCTAGGTTCTCATTAATCTGCACCAAATAGTGTCTGGAATTAGGTAAGCTGGATAAGTCCCTCCAGGGAGAGAGTACACCCCATTCCATTCCAGAAATGGGGATATTTCCATACTAGGGTGGAATATATATGTGGAACTCTGTCCTTGTTTAGAATGGATTTCCACACGTGTCAGACACCCTGCTGTCCAAAAAAAATGAGAGAATGAGGATGAGAAGCCCATTCTGATCTCACAACTGNTTTTTTTT